CTGTTCGGTCCTTACAGCTTGCGGCTCCTCATGGGACAAGGGGCTCCTTGAGGATAGGAGGAGGCCAGGGCTGGACTACCCCCTGGCTAGGGCTGCTACAAGGAGAGAGGGAGTCACTTACTTGGGCCAGTGGCCAGCAATATTAAGAGATGCATCCCCAGCTGGTCACCTCTTCCTGATGTGGCTCCCCCCTGTGGTCACTCTGCAGTAAAACTGTCCTCTGCACTCACTGTCCCCTGTGGTCATTGTGGAGCATAACTGCCCCTCCTATCAGCCCCTCCCGTTCCATGTTATGGAAAACAATCAAATTCCAGGCACAGAATCCTGACCTTGCTTTATGTTAGGATAAGAGGAAGCTGCATACCGAGTCTGGTGAGCCTAGCTCTTATCGTTTACAAGGGATTCTTGAACAAATGGATTCATGGATGGATGGACTCATGGACAGAGAGACAGATGCACAAACTCACTCTATATAGATATACAATGTTGTATTTTGTCATATTCTAAAAGAGAATGATAACATTAGTTGCTATAAAATAAAATGAAAATATATTAAAACAGGGTTTAAAGAAGTAAATATCTATTTTATAATGCTTCTACAACACATTTCATGTAAAGAAATAGACCTACTGTCCTCCATTTCTGTTCTTCTCTTTAGTTTACTGTCTCTCTCTATTCTGAGTCATACTCAGGGCTCGTCTAGACTATGCTGAAGTTTGGAAAGAGGATATGCAAATTCTGTGGGAATTTGCATATTATTGTCCAATCTCTTTCGAAAGCAGAGCATCAGTAAGCAGAGCTTTCTAAAGTGAAAGTATTCAGGACGCGGTTTTATCAGCACCCCTCCCTTTTTCGAAAAGCTGTGTAAACCTTATTTTTTGAGGAAGAACAGCTTTTTGAAAAGGGGGAGGGGGATTACCGAAAAAACCATGTCCCAACTACTATAAAACAGAGCTTTAGAAAGTGAGATCAAAAGAAGATATGCAAATTCAGTGGGAATTTGCATATCCTTTTTCGAAACTTCAGCATACTCTAGACATAGCCTCTGTGTTTGCTTTGTGTCCAGTTACATTTTCCCCATTGCTTCCTAAATATCGCCCTCCACTTATTGCCCTACACCCTTTCTTCCTCTTATTCCTTGGCCCTTAATTTCTCTTGTTCTTTTCCTTGTCTTCCTTTTCTTTTCCTTGTTCTCCTCCCTCCCATGTTCTCAGTCCTTCTTTTCCCAGCTTCACTTGCTCCTCTTCCTCCCCTGACCTCCATCAATTCCTAGACTGATTCAGCAAATGCCCTTTGTAGCCTCTCATATATGACACCATAAGAAATGGCAGCAATACAAATAACACTTGTCTTCCTCAGAATGGCCCAAGAATCTGTATCTCACTGGATTTCACTGTGCATCTCACAGAAGCACAGTGATCCCTAGCATGATAGTAAAAGCATTATTGGCTCAGTAAGGAGTTTACCACCTTCCTGGAAACTAACGCCACTCCCTGCATCAGAAACCTCTTGTGCAAGTAGCCTTGCTTAACTTATGAGACCTGATGGAATCAGAACATAAGGTTATATGGTAATGTTTTGTATATTAAATTTTATTTTTCTAAGTGATAGTATTTATGATCCTCTAAATATAAGAATGGAAAATGGAACCCAAGAAAGCCGAATAAAGCTCTCATCTCCAGAATCTGCTGAGTCAGGCATCACAAACCATGTTTACCATGATGTCTTTAGGACCCTCTTAGCATTTTTTTCAGTTTTGCCTCTTTTCATACTCTAGAAAATATTGAAATGCAAAAATTATCATAATGACTAGGTGATTTATTCTATGCCAGATAATACCTGGAGATAATGTTTTTGTCTGTGGATAAGCTGTTCGTAGCATTGTTTTATAAACATTTCAATGAATGAGGCTTTAAAGGCTTGTTAATTGCAATAAATTAATCTTTTAAAACGTGTCTTCTGGTGATAGCTGAGTGAGGGGGGCTGATGGAGCAAAAATACTAACAGAAATTATTTTTATACATGATAGCATATGTGTTGGGTTTTTTTTGGCAGAATAATGAAGTTCAGATCTACCTGCAATATCATATTGAATAATTCCTTTGTTTAATTTTAGAAAATGCTTTAGGTAACTATCATTTTATTGTATTGAATTTACTAAAAAGGAAGATGAGTATAGATATGATTTTTTTTCACTTTACACTTGTGTTTATTATGAATGCTATTCTCCCAGCATGGTAAGTGTATTGGTATGAAATAGAATTCCATTTGTGTTCAAAACTGTTATGAAGTAAAAGAAAAAGGATTAAGAATTTTAATCAAAATAGTAAACATTTTTTTAATAAAACATAACTGGTATGCAAGAATATGTTCTCTCAGTTTTTACTCCAATTCTGTAAACACATGTGCATTAACTTAACTTGAAGTATGTAAGATGTCCCATTGACTTCACTGGAAGTGAAGTAAAGTTTGTTCGCATGAGCAAAGTTAACCACATACATAAGGAATTGTAGGATCAGGGACTTACCGGTAGTTATAATATCCTCTAATGCTGCATGACTAAAGCCATACAAACCCTTCTACAGGTAGTTTTTTCATTTCAATAATCATTTGAAGAGAATAGTTTTTTCCTGTTTTTATTAAAAATAATATATTGGTTAGTGGAAAATTTAATTCCATAGTTCTTCAATTTTATGCTTAATTGCATGAAATATATACAAATGTTTGTGTCCTTTTCAGCAGATAAAACTTCTTTACATAGCTTTTAGTAGAAGCATGACATTTGTTCAAACAATTTCAGCAGATAAAACTTCTTTACATAGTTTTTAGGAGAAGTATGATATTTGTTCAAACAAGCAATTAGAGAAAATGCCCACTAATAAATATTTCCAATTCTATGTCAAGGTATAACATCCTACCAGTTTGACTGTGGAAGATTGCTGGTGATGGGCAAAAGCTGAATATACAGTCAGACCACTTTAAACAAGAGATGGAGATGAGTGACACTCCGTATACAAGGAGGAAATGTGAGTTTGAGATTTGCCATCATGATGCTCATGACAGTCTGTTGTAATCATAGACATGTAGGTCTGGAAGGGACCTCAGGTCCAATCCCCTGCACTCAAGGCAGGACTAAGTAATAAGCAGATCATTCCTGATGGGTGATTGCCTAACCTTTTCTATGAAATGACCAGGAACAGAACTTCCAATGCTTAAGTATTTGGACAATTAGAAATGTTTTCCTAATGACCAACTTAAACTGCCCTTCCTGCGACTTAAGCCTATTGCTTCTTGAACTGTCCTCAAAGGTTAAGAAATATAATTTTTATCTTCCTTCTTGTAACAACTTTTAATATACTTGAACATTGGTATCATACTCCCCTCTCCATCTTTGCCGGACTAAACAAACCAAGGTTGTTTTTTTCCAATCATTCCTTATAGGTCTTGTTTTCCAGACCCTTAATAATTTTTTTTGCCTCTTCTCTGCACTTTCTCTGATTTTTCTACATCTTTCCTGAAATGTGATGCCCAGAACGGAGCACAGTATTCTGAGGGGGGAGGAGGGTCTTAAATACTTCTTGTGTATGACTTACAACACTCTTGTTAATACATCCCAGAATGTTTGCCTTCCGCCCTCCTCGCAACAATGTCACACTGTTGATTCATATTTAGCTTGTGATCCACTATCACCTCCTGATCCCTTTCTTCAGTACTCACTCCTAGGCAGTCATTTCCCATTTTGTAGATGTACAATTTATAGTTCCTTCCCAAGTGGCATACTTTGCATTTTCCTGATTGAATTTCACCCTGTTTACTTTAGATCATTTCTCCAATTTGTCCAGATCATTTTGACTTTTAATCCAGTCCTTCAAAGCATTGCAAACCCTCTCAGTTTGGTGTTGTCCATAAGCTTTATAAATGTATTCTCCTATGAAATCAGATTACACACATATATATTTGACAACTGCAACATGTTTATATCTTATTTAGATTAGTCCTAACACAAAAGCATAATATTTAAGTTTTCTTTTTTCATATAGTGCAAGCCCTTTTTATAGAGGCATTTCAGGTAAACAATAAATATGTAAAATTATCTCTCTGTAGTGATAACCATTTCCCAAGACATACATGCATTTCTATGTTTGGAATCTTTTCAGTATTCAGTTTTGTTGTTTAGTAATTGTTAGTCTAAATTCTTCCAGATTTGAACATAGGATTGTATTGATAAGGAAATCAGCATAGAATCATAGAATACTAGAACTGGAAGGGACCTAAAGAGATCAAGTCCAGTCCCCTGCCCTCATGTCAGGATCAAACACCGTCTATATCATCCCTGATAGATGTCTGTCTAACCTGATCTTAAATGTCTCCAGTGATGGAGATTCCACAACCTCCTTAGCATAAAGCACAGCATAATAGCTATCCTTCTGATTTACTTATAAGTGGTGAGATATCCTTAATAAAAGCACTAGAGCATGTACAAAAACACTGTAATTCAAATAATATCATTATCAAGCTGTCTAAAGTGCCTCATGACAATGAGTGCCAATTTCAGTGCAGCTACTCCCAGGGCTCCCTGCCCCCAGCTACCTAGCTCTGTGTGGGGCGGCAGCCAGGTTTGGGGGTCCTTGCCTCCCCCTGCCAGGCCCCACGCTTAGCCACAGTTGCTTCTGGGGCTTCCTGTCCCCATCCCCTGCAGGGCAGCAGTCTCTTCTGGGGCTCCCTATCTACATGTCACTGGCCCTGGAAGGCTGCTGCCTGCTAGATTGACTCCACTCCTAGCTGCTTTCAACCTCTATGGCCAGGGCTCTCTGGTCAGCAACATCTGTGGTCCTACCGGAGAAGAGAGGTTCGACTTGTATATATTACTTTTACATACATATGTTTTTGTGTGCCAGCCCTTTATATAGCTTTCTCTTTGATGTGTGCAGTATATTTTTATTTGGCATATAAACTCTTTTATTGACAGTACCGGGAGCATCCCTACTGTTAGCTATGTATTATTTTGCCTATGTCATTTTCTGCCATGTTATGAGATGCTACCAGAAATGTTTTTCACTTTACTTTTGGGTATAATCTATTAATTGTGGGAAAAGACATCTCTTACTATAGCATTCATAAATTTAAACACAGTTAGTTAGTCCTACACAGTCAAATGTGGCAGGTTATTATTAGCAATAATGTATTTGTACTATGGAAGTGTCCAGAGGTCACAGTTGTGATTGGGGTCCTATTGTACTTTTGGCACCATCCAAACACATAGGAAGTTATTTTCCCTCCCCTGAAAAGCTTTACTGTGAAATCCATAAACCTATCCTCAAGGGCAACAACCTACACAAAAAATGTAGAGTTATAAATACCACAAAGAGTGGTTCAGAGTTCCTTGGTAAACTTTATTTTTCTTGATCAATAAATTAAAAGCTTTAAACTTTCTACTATGTGACTTAAAAATAGGTTTTTGAAGGAAGCTGTAAATTGTACTAATTGTTAGAGAATCCAAGCAGCATCAGAAGTTTACAATCTAAAATTTCAAACAAGATGTTGTTTTCTTTTAGTTGACTTTCTTGTGAGACTGAGATTTAGTTTTGTGCCCCCTTCCCATTCAATTTTTCAATCTTATTCACAGAAATTGAACATTTTAATTTTATTGCTGCAGTAGATTTTCTCGAATATGTTGTTTTGAGCTCTTTCAATATTTTTTCACACTCCGCCAGTTCCCCAATACTAAATGGTGAAGGAAGCACATCACAGCAACAGTGAGCCCTTCATTATGTAGAATACTGAAAAGTTCAAAATAATTCCATGCACTATAATGATCCTGTGAACACTGGTGACAATGAATATGTACACTTTGCACTACAACAAATATTGGTATTAGGACAGAAAACAATTGTCATAGAATCATAGAGCTGGAAGAGACCTCAGGAGGTCTTCAAGTCTACCCCCCGTACCCAAAGCAGGACCAATCCCAACTAACTCATTCCAGCCAGGATTGTGACAATTCTTGTGACAAACTTCATAAAACACTTAACCCATTCCTGTTACTGTCTTCAGTTTGTAAACAGACGTCTTCAGTTGAATGCAAAGTTATCTCTACCTAAATATTTTTTAATTATTAGCTCTCACAACTCTAATCCCTGAACCAGAGCCCTTGGTTTATGTTCCACTCTGGAACATTGTATTAAACTATTAGCCACGGGTGCATGCATGCTGCCCTTTTGGTTAAATGTTTAGAGGACCCTTCCATTTGGATAGAAAGTTCCAGCTGTTTATTCTGAAAGGAATAAGGGGAGACTCTCAGGGCATGGTCGATGCAGCCTTATTGAAATGCAGACTTATTGTGCAGTCCTATGTGTCAGCTATTGTTGTGGCATAACTAACACCACTACTTCCATGGTCACTGCACTGTTTGAACCCATTGCTTTATACAAAAGCAAACAGGAAAGGTTTAATGAACTCTTCGGGCCTCAAACAGCCTTGCCATGCTACACCTACAGCAAGTGTGAGGCTTTGAGAGAGGGATTAAAAAGAGCAAGCACAGCACAGTAGAGGGATGACTAAGAAGGAGATCAGTTTGTATGCTGTGAGAGGTAGGGTAAGGAATAACCTGAAAGACTGCTGCCTTCCAGAGCCTCTCTGCAGCAAGGTGAACATGTTATGGTACTACTGTTTGATTTGTCACCATTTACCTAGTTATTGGTGCTGAATAAACCTGCTGCAGGAGGTGCACTCTCAAAGATCTTTCATTTCCTTACATATGTGGAGGGGTCTGGCCATGGTCTGACTCAAGTGTAGAAGTGGCTGTGTCACAAACATCCTATTTAATTATGGACAATTTAAAATAAAACCCTTTAGCAAGTGGGTGTTGGAATTACAATTTTTTTACAAAAAATAAGCTAGAAATCCTGAATTTAAAACAATTAAGTTATTTTGTAATATGCTTTTAGTACCATAAAACTCCACCATAATTATAATTAAGGAAGCAAGGGCATTCTTATTGTTCAAAGAAGAGTAGACATTTCAGAAAATATGTTGTGGAAACATACTTCATGCCAAAGGAAAACAGCCAAATATATTTTGAACAGTGTACCTGCAATTGAATCCAGCTCTATTTGCCTCTGGGACATAATTTTGCATGCGTTGCTCAGTGAAACAATCCTATTTGTTTCAATGGGGCTACTCTTGTGTGCAAGAAGCAGGATTGGAACAGCTGTGAGTCTGTCCTTCAGTCATGTTGTTTGTTTACAATCTGCTTAAAGTTTCACCAATGACATTCTTAATGTCTTATTGCTATACCCTTAAGACTTTGGTCCTCTTAGGCTATGTCTGGACTGCAGGCTTCTTTTGGAAGAAGCTTTTCAGGAAGAGATCTTCCAGAAAAACTTCTTTAGAAAGAGAGCATCCACACAGCAAAAGTGCATCAAAAAAGGTATGTTTTTTTTTTTGAAAGATAGCATCCACGTTCACTGGACACTGTCTCGCATTTAAGTTGTGATTACTATAGACAGAATGGCCAGTAGGGCACCTGTGCTTTTTCCTGGATGCCTCTTCTTTCAGAAGAAACCCAAACCCTCTTACCCTCTCCCACATGCCTTTTTCTGAAAGAGCTCTTTTTCCTTGTAGAAAGAGGTTTACCCCGTCAGAAAACCCCCTGCATTCTTTCAACTTTCTGTTGAAAGAACCTAATTGTAGTGTGGACATAAGTGTACTTATTCCAGAAAAAGGGCGATTTTTCTGGAAAATCTCTGCAGTATAGACATACCCACATTCTAACCCTTTATAGGGCTAAGCGTAACCCTATTCTTAATGTGCAATAATATACAAATATTTGGTACCACTAGTAGCCATAACAACAGCACCACAAAGCCTGAAGAGAAGAACTCTGAGGACTCAAAGCATTAATCACATGGACATTCAACAATCAAGGCTCTGTAAGGAACTATGGAGAATACCTGATCCCATGAAATGTTGCTAGAGCTGTTGGTACTTTGCTTTTTGTGAGCACAACAAAGTTAATTTGAACTAA